CCGTATAGTAATTTAAATATGCCTTCGGCGCTGTATCTCAGGTCGAATCTTATCCTACCTTCAATTTAAACATATATCTCGGCTATACTCATGAATCCGAGATGCTTCTCGACATTTTTCTAACTAGATCATATTCTTCTGAAATATATTTTTACAGTATTTTAATTTTACGCTATTAATGTAATTTTGAATTGAAAAATAACATGGTTATTATAAAACTTATTACTACATTTTACTCATAAAATTCAATACAATTTATATGGGGGCCATTATTCTTCACAAAGACTGATTCCATTTTCTCGCCTTTCCATCAGTCGACCGTATCCTACAAACACAATTATAAATATTTACCGACCTATTGATGATTTAACTAACAAATTAATACCTTCTTTTATGCATTCCCAACCAACTCCATCCCTGATGTGTGATGAGTTGGTTACATGTGCCAAACCCAAATAATGCCTGATTAAATTTGTGCTGTTTTTCAGATTGTCTACAACTCATTTATGTTGATTTAATTTAAATTTATGAATTTTGCGCAAAATATTGAGCAAATAACAACAGCACAAATCTATACCTGAATATTGATATTAAAGGCATTATTCTGGACTGCCACCTACGTTGGAATACCATTGCTAGATAAGAGGTTTTACCGACCTCAGGATACGACCTCCACCTTCAAATTTTCAATTATTCTTTTTATGATAAAGCCTTTTAAATATTCAACTCCATTTGGTTACTCACTCCGTGAACAGTACATGTTCAAAATCTATGCACTCCCCTACTTCACATAGTACCCTACCACCATCATTTATCCTTGAAATTAGATTATATCAATATATATGGATGTTTTAATATTGTAATATTGTGGTTCATTACCTCTCTAAATATTCACAATGATAATCAATGGGTTCCACAATATACGACATATTATTTTTTCCTTCCAAAAATTAATTTGATTATTCCGCTGAGACCTAATTTCACTAACGTACTGAATGTGGATTCTTGGATCAAAAAGAATATTACGGTTTATGTAAATTAAATTTACATTTTTCTGCCCTTCGCCAGTTTCAATTTTTCGCATTTTAACGCATATTGCAACCTATGGTAAATTTTTATCTTTTTAAGTAAACCATATTTGCTGCCTGGATAACACTGTTTTACCGTTATCCATAGCTTGGGCTTGGCCCGAACTGTATTATTTTTCTTAAACCTGTAAATATCTATTTTTAACCTGTGCTCAATATTCTCCCAAACCAATGTGAACGATGTTAATTGCATGCGCTCTAAATACAAAAACTGCATATTGTGAAACATTACACATTTTTTTAAATTAGATTTCTTGAGATTCTAAAGTCAATAAACTGCCTTTCCAATTTGTTTTTACCAATGTGTATCCCTTGTTTAATATTCCAGGAAAATTGATTATTTGAATTAAACACAAAATGCGTAGATTTCCCTGACCTTGTCATATATACGCATTTTACGCACTGACGTCATGTCAACTCACTTCACTATCCCTTTCATTCCGCAAGTATGCAATTTTAAAACTATTCAACTCTACACTCTGATTGACATTGAACTTATAACAAATTGTTAGATTTGTACTTCGATTTGAAATTAAAGTTACTTGGAAAATTTTAAACATTAAGACGAGTAATCCTCTTTAAAATTTTATTATTGATAAAATTACTGTCAATAAAGAGGGGGGGGGGAAAGCCTAGTCCATAGACTTAAAGGAGTCCACAGACTCCAAGCTTGACTGGGATCGGGTCTTCATCCGGTGCCTCCCTAAATCCGTCTTCCTGGGCCGCATGTTAACGGCAACGATGTCCCTCTCCCTCCAAGCGTTGGACAACCGCCGATTAAACTTGGACCTGGGTGGAGTCCTCAAATGGATTGGGGGCGTCCTCTTTACAGTCTTCACAGGGTGCCCGGAATCAGGCAGAACCTCCCCATCCTTCCCTGTCGCGGTGACAGCCTCCACCACCACCTGACTGAGCTGAGCAT